CCTGGTATTTAGTAGATGCACCCTTCATGGTTGGTTTTTCTCTTTCCACTTTGGATGGCTATAATAGTTAAATTGAGTTCCATTTGGCAGTTGTTGATGGAGGTCTTCATCTGTAGGTGCTTGTGCTGTTGCTGTGAATACAAAGAAGAATTCAATGAAAAAAAGTCCTTTCCCCAATAAAGTCACCCTCTAAGGGGGAAAAGATATGTGAAGGTGATCATGGTAACCAGAGGTAGACAACACGAGTTCTTTCACAAGTCAAAGTTGACAGTACTCAATATCAAAGTGTAAAGAGTTTCCAAAGACAGAGATAATTTTCTCTCTTCTTCTAGAAGTGAATAATGAATAGGCACCATGGGTGAATGAAAAGGCCCTTCCCTAGTGGACCAAGGCACACTTGGGTCTTGAGAGGTTCTGACATCCTGGGGCGGCACACCTAATGGTAACCTTAAGTTGAAGACTAGGGAGACGATGCCAAGAAGAGGCTAAAGAGGCAGCAGAGCAACAGAGTTGGTGCATAAAGCCCCAGTGATGCTTTCTAAAGATGTTGGAAGTCCTGGAGGACCTCGGAGAGATGCGTTGGGAGGTGGGGCCTACCTAGCAGGAGAAGTTTGGATCAGGAGGATAGTACCCTTGTGGACAGATTAATGCTTTCCTTACATGAATGAGGTTTTGATCCCATAGGACTGATTAGTTACTGCCAGGTTGGGTCCGTATAGACAAGGTTGCTTCTCATATTTTCTCTCTTCCCATTATCTTTCTATTTTCTTCCATGAGGTCCACAAGAAGCCAAGCAGATGCATAGTCATACAGTTGGATTTCTCAGCCTCCAGAACTGTGAACCCAAATCAACCTCATTTCTTGAGTAAATTACCCAGTCTCAGGTAATCTGTTACAGCAACAGAAAACAGACTAAGACAAAGATCACTCCCATATACCCACAATACTGTATTTTTTCCAAACCACCTTCAAGACATCTAAAGTTTGAGTCACTGGGAAATTGGTATGTAATTGCCTAGGAGGAAGACAACAGTACCAACTTGATTTGATTGATTCAATAGTACACTAAGGCCACTTAACAGTACAAGTAACTCCTCTAAGGCTTGGCTCTGCAACCTAAAAAAAATCATAACATTACTTGGAGTTTAGATAGGATAATATGTGTAACATGCCCAGCAGAGAGCAGCAACATTTGTAACTGCTTTTGTACTGGTTATCTATGAATTTTGGAAAGGCTGAAGAAAGGAGGCAGACACCCCCCACATCCAGATCCCCTGTTGCTTCTCTAACCAAGTTTAGAACACGAGATAAGAATTGGCACCAGTTTTGATTTGAGTATTTATTAATGGAAAAATCTGTCCTGGCTGCCAAATGCAAGGTCTTTGGGGATTGGGGGCCTTTTTTTTCTTCCTTCCCTAAGGCCAAGTGTAAGCCTTGGCAGTCTTTTGTTGGGGCTTGTAATGGTAAAGACACTCTCTGAAGTCCATTGCTAATGGGATTGGGGAAAGAGACTTCTGTGCCGCTCAGGCTGCCTGAAGCCTGGAGTGCTGGATAAGGTGATGGGTGGCTTCATAAGCCCTTTGAGTGGATTAGGTGTGACACCAGACCTGTGTGTGTGTCAGTTTAATCACTGTTTTTATTATAATAACTCTAATGGAAAATGTAAAGACTAAAACATATCACTTCTAATCCCGCAACTCCATGAAATGGATTGCATTTTATAAACTGCTTTTCTGCCTTTGTCTATGTGTGGATATGTACACAAATTATGTTTGCATTCCTATACACATAGCTTTACTTTCAATTCACCTATAAAATGTATTTTGTTTTTGAAGGTTAACATTAGAATATAGCTATGTCACATACTTTCATAATTATCATTTTAATAAATGCAAACTATTCCTTCCAGATAGTATATTATAGTTTACTTTAGAGATTTTAGGGCATTTTAAATTATTTTTAGTTATAAGAGAAACTTCAGTAAAAAATATAGGTAGATCGGTGGACAAACAGATATAGATACACACACACACACACACACACACACACACACAACTTTTTAGAGAAAATTCCCAGGAGTGAGGCTCTTGGGAAGCAGTAATGTGTAAAAGCACTGAATCTGGAGGCGGGCAGATGTAAACTCAGATCCTGGTTCTCCTATGTACTAGACCTTCACTCCAGCTATGTTACTTAACCTCTAACTCTTCCTCTGATGGTGCATGTCGGGCAAGAGTCACTGCCTAATAAATAAGCACAATATATAAATGGTGTGCAACAGTAAGTATTTATAGCTGCTCCTCAACCTAGGATGGGGTCATATCCTGATAAACCATTATAAATAAAAAATAGTGGAAGTGGAAATGCATTACTGTCCCTAAACTCTTGGCCATGGTTGTTAAGCAGCACAACACACTATAGAATATCAGTTGTTTCCCCTGTGACTGTGCAGTTGACGGGGAGCTATGGCTCACTGTCACCGCCCAGCATCTTGAAAAAGGATCATACCAAACACTGCAAGCACAGGAAAAGGTCATAATTCAAAATATAAGGAAAGGCTTCTACTGTATGTGTATTGCGTTTGCATTAGTATAAAAAACAATTGAGTCAAACCATCATAAGGTGGGGATCGTTTCTACCTTGTTACACATCTGTGGATTGGCTGGGTGGGGTTCAGCCGATCTGGTCAGGGCTCAGTTGGTGAGCCTGCCTCTCCCTGCAGGCCTATGGACCTGCACTGGTGCCAATGTCTTTTCCTCTTCTCTGTTACAGGCATGTTTTTCTCATGGTTAGTGATGCACAGGCAATAAAACAAGCCCAAACACATGAGCATTTGTCAATACTCTAGTCACATCACATCTGCTAACATCTCATAGTCAGGGCACGTCACATGGTCAAACAATGAACAATGGGGAGAGAAATAAACTCTGATTCTTCAGTGCAAAGAATTTGAAAGTCACCAAAGAGAATGGATACAGAGAGGACTGAAGAATTAGGGAACATTCATGTAAACCACCAAAGTGAGTAAAAAACGTCCCCTGCAGAGTTGCTAAGAAGGCAAAATGATAAAGTTTTCAAGAGTCAATAAATGTCACCTTCAGAAGGTAAAGATTCATTTCTGTTTTCATTTTTTCTACTTTGTTTCTAAGTTATTAACAGTTCTTGGCACATAATTAATATTCAAGATCTTTATATTAAGTTGGCTATTATTACTATTTGTCCCAAGGATAAATTAAAGAATCTTGACCCTACTCACTGACCCCGACCCTGGTGGCCATGCCCCACCTTTCTGTGTTCCTCCAGCGCTCTGATTGAAACTCCACTGGCATTCATCATATTGTAGCACACTTAGTGGTTTCAGCATCTACTTTTCTACTAAATGATGAAATGCAAAGAAAAGTACCTGTGTCTTTCTCACTCTTGATGTCTTAATGTCTGACTCAACAGATACCATGTTTTTAAGGACAGAAAAGAGGAAATATATCAGCACTCTTCCTTCTTATTCTTAATCTTGGCCATGTTTTCCTCTATTTTCCCAAACATATAGAACATACTTATCAGAATGTTGTAATGTCCTTTTCTCCTATTTCTATCAATTCTATGATTTCTGGGTCTTTTGTATTAATTGCTTCTTTTCTCATGGTTATAATTCATAGTTTCTTGCTTCCTTGCATGTCTGGTAAGTTTTGTTCAAATGCTGGACATTGTGATTTTTGTATTGTTAGTTGGTGGATTATGTTGTATTTCTTTGAAAAGTATTCAATTTTGTTTTGACATGCAGTTAAAACATTTGGAATACAGTTAATCCTTTTGAAAGTTTCCATTAAAATTATTTGGGGCTTCCAGGCCAACATCATTCTAAATGGAGAAAAATTGAAAGTATTCCCTCTAAAAACTGGTACAAGACAGGGATGCCCTCTTTTACCACTTCTATTTAACATAGTTCTTGAAACACTGGCCAGAGCAATTAGACAGATGAAAGAAATTAAAGGGATACGGATAGGAAAAGAAAAACTCAGATTAGCACTATTTGCTGATGATATGACTCTGTACTTAGAACACCTAAAAAATTCCACCAGAAAACTTCTAGAACTAGTAAATGAATTCAACATAGTTGCAAGGATACAAAAATCAACACCCATAAATCAAAGGCATTTCTGTATATCAGTGACAAATCCTCTGAAAGGGAAATGAAGAAAACTACCCCATTCACAATAGCCTAAAAAAGAAATAAAATACTTGGGAATCAACCTAACAAAAGAGGTGAAATACCTTTACAATGAAAACTACAGAAAGAAATTTAAAAAGACCTTAGGAGACAGAAAAATCTCCCTTGTTCTTGGATAGGCAGAATTAATATTGTCAAAATGACCATACTACCAAAAAATTATACAGATTTAATGTGATTCCAATGAAAATCCCCATGACATTCCTCATAGAAATAGAAAAAGCAGTCATTAAATTCATCTGGAAAAATAAGAGACCCA